GGGGGCGCCCGCCCCCAAGCAGACATGGCTCTGAGGACAGAAAAGCTGCCGCGTGCTGGTTGCCCTGACAGCATCCCGATGAGTAAGGAGAAGCAGATGAGCCACCGGCTGAGGGAAGTGGCGAAAATCATTAAAGAACAAGGGAAGAACTATCTGGAGGAGAACAGATTTTGCTCAGCGGAGGCCAGCTGGACCCTCCGGAGACGGGGAGGGAGAAGGGGGAGGGAGTCTTCGTGGGCCATGTACTGCTTCTCTCCACCATCAGGAGACTGGGGCATAGAAAGTGTTTCTCCTGCCAACATCTCCTGCTGCCATCATCATTTGGGAATGAAGATATAACCTGAGCAAGGCTCTCGCTTTGCTCTGTGAGGGAATGAGCAGCAGTTTTCCCAGGAAAGGGGTGGGAAGCAGTATGGATAAGCCCGGAGGATGGAGAGGAGCGAGCTAGGAGGTGGCATCTCAAACCCCCAGCAGGTGCAGGTGAGTGAGAGCCAAGCGGAAGGGTGGCATGGAGTGTGACCAGGGCCACTGCGAGGACAGCCTGGGCAGGAGTCACCACACAAATAGCCGGGGAAGAAGTGCACCCAAAGCAGGGCACTGCTGCAGCTCTGGGCCAGAGCACACTGCAACAAGCAGCCAAGACATTGGGACATTGACTCTGTAACCTACTGAGCACGGTGCTGCTGGTGCTGCGCAGGAAAGCAGGCGCAGTGCACGAGAGCCCAGTCAGTCTGCCGCGGAGGAGCTGCAGCTTACGGGACTTGAGAGGCCCTGTCCCAAGCAGCCCGAGAGAGCGGCCACGTCCACAGACTGGTCACTCCCTGCTCCAGGACTCACCGTCTGAATCGATGCTGTTCAAGGCGGTTGGTGGGATGATGGAAACTTTGTACTGCCCCAGGGGACATCTCTTCCCAAAGAGCTCCTTGCAGGCGCTGTGGACCTGGCGGCACAGGGACATGGGCTAAGCCATGGCAGAAGCCAGTGGACCCAGCACTAACCCTGGCTTTGCTGAGCGCTCCCCACCGAGCCTCAGTTTCCCCAGGGATGTGTCTAGAGGGGGCACTGATGTTTTAGCAACTGATTTTCTAGTGACCAATGAGTGCCAGGGAGGGGAGGAGAAGGGGAGACCCAATCTCGGCCCTGGCTCTTTGGCTGCCTGATGCACAGCTCACACTGGAGCCATCCTTCCCAAAGCCAAGTTCTTGCTCGGCCAACAGCCCAGGAGAGACCCAGTGACCTCAGACAGGGACCCCAGCCAGTCCACGACCGTGCCCAGGATGGCCACGGGTGCACAACGCTGCACGCGCTGGAGGAGCATTCAGGTTAGATCTGCCACCGGGTTGGGAGGCTCTGCTGGGGTCCGTCCTTACAATGGCCTTGCACCAGAGACACCGCCAGTCCTGCAGCCGCCGGACGCTCCCGCAGGTCCGGTCGCACACGGCGCAGCGCGCGCTGACGGGCAGGTTCCCCTCCAGCCACTGGTGGGGCATGGCCACCTGTGAAGAAGGGCAGCTGGCCACCAATGTCCCAGGACAATTCCTCACGTGCCTGAGGATCAGCCACGCTGGCAATGGGGACAGGAACGCAGCAGGTGCCCATAGCTTTGGCTGGCAAACCAGTCTTGCAAGGGCTGCACCCCTGCCTGCCCAGCCCCATGCAGGTGTCAGAGCAGGGCAGGGGACACCAGCGCGTCAGGACTGTCCCTGCTCCCCATTTGGGCACTAAAGACCACTTCTCCCAAGTGCTCCAGCACTGGCTGTTCTGTCCTGTCAGGACAGATGGGACCCCTGCGCAGAGCGGAGCTGCTTACCCCATCCTCATCCTCGATGATTTCTGTGCCGATGGAGGCCAGGGTCGTCCACTTGCAGTTGTTGGTAGCTCTCACGGCGCAGCGCTTGTGGGCCTTGAACTTGCAGACTGGGGGGAAGAGTGGGTGAGGAGCAGGGATGGTACCCCAGGGCATGTGCACCCCTGACCCCAATCCTGGAGCCAGGAAACACCTCTATCCAAGCAAAGCTGGCCACAGATCACCGCAGATCACCCTGCGTTGATCTCCATCTAGGCGAGCCTTCATCCCCCCGCGCTGGAGGGCTGCAGCCCCACACCAGTCCCAGCCAGGCCCGGTGGCACCTACCTTCACAGGAGAGGCCGTGGGAGGTGACCCCCGAGAGGGCTTCGCGGCACACGTTGCAGAAGGTGGGCCTGGCGTGGGAGCAGGCGTACCAGTTGTGCATGCCCGAGAAGTGCTCCATGTTGAACTGAGTGGCCTGCAGGGACACAGCCCTGGCCCGTAAGGCCTGCGGTCCCGGCCCTGCCAAAACCCCAGCCAACCCCATGCAGACACCTCTTCCCTCCTCGCCCCAAGGCTCCCTGAGGACTGGCCAGAATTGGGTGGGCTTATCCCCATCCCAGCTCCACCAGATGCACCCAGGCCCGTTCCCATCTCATCTTGGGGCGGGATGTCCAAGCCCCAGAGCGGGAGCAGGAAGGGCCAGAGGGTTCAGGACACGCTGGCGGAGCCCACCCTCATCTGGCGCATCAGCTCCTTGGGGTTATCTGCCCGGGCACTGTGGCCCCATGGCCTGGTCCTGCCTGTCACCACGGATCATCTGTCACCAGCACGGCCACCCACATGCTCGCGGGCTCCTTCACCTCGTGGATTTCCCACTTCTGCACAGACTTTAGGGCACTGATCCAGTCTTCCATCTCCTTGCGGTTCTCTGCGCACAGGATGAGCTTCCGAAACGGTGTGATCACCTAGAAAAGCCACGACACCATATCCCCTTGCAAAGCGCCCTCCAAGGAGCCCGGCCCCTGCATAGCCCCGGCAAATCCCACGGCGCAGCAGTCGTGCACCAGCATCCCGCAGCTCTTGGCACCTCCAGTGTCCTTGCCCGCCCTGACAGCGCAGGAGAGGAGCCCCAGGTGGCTGCCCACACATCACGCCTCCGTGCCCATGGCCACAGAGCCTCTCTGCAGCTGGGATGGAGCGGTGGGCACCCTGCGCCAGCCTCACCGTGAAGCTGTTGTTGATGTTCTTGGTGCTGGTCTCTGCCACGCTGGCATCAGACAGGTCCACCTCATCGAAGATCAGGGACTGCAGGGGAGAAACGGGAGCCCCGCGCTCAGCCTCGCGGACAGCGGCAAGTCCCAGAGGGGCAGCAAAGCCTCCCTTCCCGTGGCACTGGGGCAGAGACGGCCGCCAGAGCTGCCCAGGGAGGGACAGGGCTGCAAGCCCAGGGGCAGCCGCAGCCTCCTGGCTGCCCAAGTTCTTGCGCCTCCTGCGCAGCGGGTGCCCAGCCTACCTTGGAGTCCTTGGCGTAATACAGCGTCCTGCCCCGCAGCTTGAAGTATCGCCTCTTCCACCTCTGGAAGGAGCTCGTCTGCTTCAGCAACAGCCCCTCCTTCACGCTTTTCTGCACGGAGAGCACCGAAGTGCTGAGCTCCTGCGGCACAGCCTGGCCCCGAGTCCCTGGGAGCCCCCAGCCCTGACAAAGACCCTCCAAGCGAAGCTGTTCCCCTGTGGTCCTGTGGCCAGGAGTAAAGCAGGGCACAGGACATGGGTAGGACATTTGGGCTGTCACGCTGTGCTGGATGTGTGTGGGACAGGATGTCCAGGGATGCTGGATTTGGCATCGTGCCCAGCACAAGAAACACGAGAGGGGCCGTAAATCCAGCACAGTCTGCGCACGGGGGCTGCCCAGCACCTCCAGTCCTCACTCGTCACTTGATGGGGGTGCCCACACCCAGCTACCCTGCGGCCACATGCCCATGCACGGGTGCTCTCCAGCCCCTCTGCCTGCATGGAGCCCCAGCGCCTCCGGCTCGGGAGCAGGGCTGCACCACGTCCCCATGGGTGTCACCAGTGCTGGCTAGTGACAGCAAGGACAGCCCTCGCCTGCTGGCTGCACCCTGGAGACTGGCTCTCTGCTCTTACAGTCCTTCAGGACTGGCTAGAGCCAGGATGCTGGACACATGGAACCAGCTCCCGGAGCTGGTGTTTGGAGGGGACACTGCCAGGCCCAACAGGAACGGGTGCCGGGAGCTTTCCAGCAAGCAAAAGCGCCGTTTCCTGCCCCCTCTGCCAGGCTTCATCCTCCCTGGCCCCAGAGGCAGCATCCAGAGGAGCCTCGAGCCATTGCAGCTCCCTGGGCGCACAGGGGAGAGCAGGGCAGCACAGGGAGGCCAGCACTGGTGTCCCTACGAGAGGACAACCCTGCGGTGGGGACCAACGGGCAGAGCAAGGGGGCTCCTGGAGCAGTGACACCTCGTGGTGCTTCTGGCTCCGCAGCGCCCAGCCCGCAGTCCCAGCACTGCTCTTCCCTCCCAGCACCTGCCAATATTTACCCTCCTCGCAGCGGTGTTTAGGCAGCTCAATTAATTAGCGCTTGCAACGCGGCCATGAGCCGCCACTGAGCCGGGTGGCAGAGATGCGCTGGCACTGCCTAATCTTTGATTGCATCTTCATCGCACGCTGCCGGCAGCCCCGTTCGGGTGCTCTGCAGCAATTAGCCGGAACAGTGGCAGTGGTAGCAGATCCCGGCGCACAATTAAATGGGTGTTTAACAGTGAGCTGCCACTGGGCACCGCGGGAGTCGCAGGGGAGCTGCGGCCCCAGGGCGCTGCACTACGGACGCGCACTCGGCACGCTCCCCGTGCTGTGCTGTGCTGGTACAGCGCGGCCCCCGTGCCGCTGAGCCTCGGGGACAGGAACACCAGCATTGCGCCAGCCTCGGGCAGCTGGCCGCAGCTTGGCTGCAGGATGCAGGCCAGGGAGCAGCCCGCGAGCGGGCCAAGACACGGAGCTTGCAAAGGCAAAGCCCTTTCCAAGGTCCACGGCGAGCGTGGGAGCATCTTGGCTGCCCGC